TTATAAAGGACATTTTGACTGTCAAAAAAACCATAAAGAATTCCTGAAGATTTATAAAGGCCCAATGCTTCTGGGATGGCAGCCATTTTGAGGGTGCGCTCGTCCAACTCAACCCTACATACCAAGCGCTAACGCTTGGTAATAGTGACATCTTCATTGTCAACCTGTCGTGGTGGTTCCATCATGGGATGACCACTCTTTATTCTAATGTTACTGTTATTAATGAAATTCGTTTGTACTTTTCCAGTTCTATCACGATCATCCATACCAGGTAGGTCAATATAATGGAATCTAACAACACTTCTGTCATCAGGAGGTTGATATACACCAATCCTGTATCCACTGGAGACATTTAATGGAGTAGGGAGAGTGAAACGATACTGTCCATTAGTTGTAAAGTTATCAGGAGTCAGTCTGATTTTAATTGACATCACTCTAGTGTACACACCATCATCATTAGTTGGAGCCCATACTTCAAAGTTTGGATATAAATTTCTACTAACAGTATCATTAACTGTCCTTATATCAACTCCAATCAATATTTCTGTTATAACTGTAGCACAAGTGAATTTTATGTTGTCCTCAATGATAATCCATCTTGTTGCTACATTCACAGGGTTGTTATAGCTAGATAATCTGTTATTACGTAGCATTCCTGATGGAGTTGTTGCTTTACCCTGTAGAAGACAATAATCCATAAATCCTTCAGTACAAGACTCTCCATTAGCCTCCAGTAATATTTCATTACTCATGAAGCACAGCAGGATTACTAATAGAAGATAGGAAGACATTTCTTCTTGGTAGCTAGTTTAAGCTGTCTGAACCACGCCCAGCCTAGCCATTGCCTAGATTTTGTTATTATTATCATTAATTTATTATTATTATTATTACTTTACAACTTAAAAGACACATCTCCCACACAAAATAGATCTTAACCATACTCTATCTAAATTTATCTTTTTACCTTTATGGAACACCTTACATTTTTTGATGCATCTGATGCAACCAATTTATTCTATGTACCATGTACAATAGATGCTATACTACATTCAATCATCATTATTGTTATTATTATTATTAAATCTTGCTGTGTTGTGTTGCAGCTATGTGTATTTGTGTGTGTGTGTATTGTATTGGCATGATCGTGAAAAATGTGTGCTATAAGAAAGTATTCATCTAAGAAGAACTATTTGTGGCTGGGATTGTTACGCTTACCACATGTTGATTATCCAATTAATAAAAGAATTTTTTGCTTTTCCAATATCAAATAAATAAATTAATTAAAAGTAATAGTGTAAAAATGTACACACTAGTGTCAGTAAACTATGTCACTGTAGAAGGTGTAGTTTGTTGCTTTATAATTTTTACTTCAATTTGCTTTATTGTAACCTGTAAAAATAATATTGTAAGAATAACTGTTATTGATGGTAAATTGTTGCACCAGCTGATTAATTATATGATTAGACATTCAGTTTACAATTACTTACCTCTTGTTTATTATACATCATTGTTCTTGGTTCATCATACACTAATAATTCTTCATTGATACCTTTAAGTCAACACAAATGCTTTAATGAACAACTACACACAAGTCTGATTACATGACATAACCATTACTATGTTCATATTAACAAAAATAATACATGGCACACTATTACATGGCTATTATACTGATTACATGGCACAAATGAAAATTATAATTTTCTCAACTAAAAAGTTATGTAGAATATTTGTCCACTCATCTCTATGTAACTACACACTATTATATACTTTTTATTCCTCCAGTAATACCATAGGCAGGATTAGCAGATACACCAGATTCTATTAATAGTTGTATTGATTGATAATAATAGTCTATCTTACTTTCAGTAACTCCATAGGCAGGATTAGCAGATATATCAGTAGTACAGTCTATGCCATGATGTTAATGTCATTATTGTACTTATATAATATCATTAGGTCTTACTTTCCCCAGTAACTCCATAAGCAGGATTAGTTGATGCTAATAGTGTATTTTCCATATTTGGTACTATAAATTAATTTCTTTATCATGTTTACATATACACACTTATTATAATAAACATTACCATCTGATTGTTGATTTATATCAGCTTTTCTTTCAGTAGAACTGAAAGTATCATTTCCATTTGATGTTTTATGCAATCTTCTCCTACACACTAATACACTCACTATTAATATTACTAGTATAGTAACTACCAGTAATATAAATACTGCTGTACTAATACTTCCTGCTAGTATTAGTGTATTACTGTCTGTACTTTGTAATGTACTAACTGGTGTACTCATCACTGATGTAGTACCTATAGTCAATGATAAACTGTTACTTGATGTTAAGCTAGTTTTAGTACATTTCATTGATTCCATTGTTACAGTAGCTGTGGAGTATATGCTTGATGATGGAAGTACAGTAATGACAGTATTAATATGTGTACTACTGATTGTTGAAGTAGCTGTATTTGTGAAAGGCTCTGTACAACATTGGAAATAAATAATTATTTATTTATATGATATAAAAAGTTATTCTTACCAACTACAACTGAGATGAGTGGATAGTCATTGGTATCTAATGCAA